ATACATACATACATATATATATATATATATATATATATATGAAAAGTGTGTGTATATAAATATAAATAAATATATATATGTATAATTATTTATATATTATATGCGTGGTACTTATTAGAAAGCGCTCAATATCAGAAATAGAGCTAACATGTTTGGTTGGATAGATGTGAGTTTGTGACCCTGAGTTTGTCTGACGATCGCTAAAGCGTGAAACCCAGGGTCACAAACTCACATCTATCCAACCATATATATATATATATATATATGATCCCTGGGAGAGTTTTTGAATCCATTCATTGTTTTTGAAACCGCCAGGTCTGAAGAAGCGAAATCGAATTTTATCGGTCTCGCGAAATAAAACATTACCATGGCTTTCTGAAGTCTCCGATTTGTTAATAAATTATTACTTGCTCTGTTTACTACACTGAGGTCTGACGATTTATATCCATACGGATTACCAATTAACTTTATCAGATTATATATATAGGCTTAATACAAATATAAAATTCGTCTCTTAGATGATTGATGTTATATTCAGCATCTCAATCCAAGTGTTTCGTAGACTGACCCTTCAGCAATCACCCCGTTCATTCGTCAGGGGATACCAAAAATTGACTGCTTACTTTCTCGTGTTCGTTATTTTTATATTAAGTTAAAAAATAATTTGTGTATTTTTTTGGTGTAAGGTTGATTTTTTTTCTTTTTCTTTCATTGTGTATGTGTATGCGTCTGCGTGTATGTGCACTTATGTACGTGTATGTGTGTGTGTGTGCGTCTTCGTGTATGAGCACTCGTGTACAAGTGTGTGTGTGTGTGCGTCTGCGTGTATGTGCACTCGTGTACATGTGTGTGTGTGTGTATGCACGAGCGTGTACGCGTGCCTTTCTATATGTGCTTATGTGCAGAATGTTGTGGTTGTGTGAAATCCTCGACAGAAATGGTGACCGAATGTTTAGAACGTTAGCATTACGACCATGCGAGCCGAGTTCAAGTCTCAGCATGGTCAATTCACGCTTGATGATTATATCAGCCTAGGGAGACGATTCCAGCGCGTGGCACGGTTGGGAAGGGCCGAGGAAGCATATTACGGGATGACCCAAGCCTAAACGAATGGAACCGATAGCCACGCCTGTTTATAAGCTGTTGACTGGAATGAAGGAACTGCGTGTCGCTGTCTCTACTGTTCAAATAGTGACTTTGTCTATACATTTGTTAACAGACAGTAGGCAAAAGAAATACTCTTTATGAACATTTCAAGACGCAAGCAACAAGAAAATAATCATTATCGGTAATTCTTCTTCGTCAAATAAATCAAATAAATAAGGAAATAAAATAAGAAAAGAAAAATGAATAAAAATAAAGCAATAAACAAAAATATTAAAAATATTAATAATCTATATATAAAATTCAGTAACTTCTTGTTCGTCCGTCCGTCATAGCCACTAAAATATCGAATCCAGATTTTGCAGGCAGGTAAGGGGGGATACAAAGTATATTTGGTTTTACTCTGGTGCGTAGCTTAGTACAATAAATTTTCATTCAGTTTTATTATTTAACATACAAAATACTTCCACTATTTTACAAACAATTTAATGATTAAAATAACAAATACTTATTTAATAAAAATGCAATATTGTTTTTTTTTGCATATCTTTTCTTTAAGTTTTTATATATACAAGAAACCCATTTTTTTACTTTGTCCTGCTTTAGCGAGAACTATAAACAAATCCCAAGCCCAAACGTTTGAAAAAGTTGGAATTTGCCTCTAGAAAGAAATATTTACGTATGGTCAGTTGCATGCTCCAGAGTAAGAAATCCTAAGAAGTTATTCTTTGCTGTTAAAAGGGGGAAAAATTCTTAAAAAATATTGTTTACCGTGAAATCCTATAAAATTAATTAAATAAATTATCAAACCGCGAAGTAGGCTTTTTGTCAAAGTATTTTTCCAAACAAATCAGTTTATTTAAATTTCATCGATTGGTTTGCGAAATTGAAGGAAACGTAGAGGTTGTAAATCTGGACAAAAATGTTAGCGATAACTTCAACAATATCAAATAACAATTTTGGTCTTTCGTTATTTAGTCACTTCGACTGTTTTTCCGTTCGACACTTTGTCCATTCGACACTTTGTCCATTCGACACTTTGTCTGTTCTTCATTTTGTCCATTCGACACTTTGTCCGTTCTTCATTTTGTCCTTCGACACTCTGTCTGCGCACAGATAGCATCATTAAAACAATAATGACACTTCGTCTTAGGATTTAAAACCGAATGATAACCGGAAGGAAAATTGTCAAAATGTTGAGACGAAGACAACAAAAATGAAAACGGCTTCAAAATAATTTCTTTAATCTACAGGGTGATCCGAAAATGTCACCCTTTGCCAAAAAGTAATGAGAACAATGGAAGAACAAGTAATACAGTAATACAAAGCATATGTACTGGATTCAGTTTATTTACTTTGATTGAAGCTGTCCCACATCGAGAAGGTCTGTATGAACACCATCATTTTCGTGTCAGCTATCATCTGAAATAAAAAAATTATATTATGTAGGGAGTGACAAGACTTTCCGACCACCACGTAGAAAAACGACCAATCTAATTGTTGAACATAAACTAGTTCATCCATTTTATTTTTTTCTTTCCGGGAAGTCGTACATTATTAAATGATTTAGAAACACTGGTCTAAATTAGTGTACAGAATGGTCCGAAAGTCTTGTCACCCGCTACCAAAAAGTAATGTGAACAATATGAAAACATGTAATACAGTAATACAAATCACATGGACTGGATTCAGTTTATTTAATTTTATTGGCGCTGTCACACATCGAGAAGGTCTGTATGAATACCATCGTTTTCCTGGCACAAAATGATACGGTGCCATGTCCTGTGTAATATTTTACGAAGCTTTGCTTTAATGATTGCTGCAAAGGCTCTTCGAACGGCGTCCTTCAGCTGATGGGTATGTCTGGTATCGTTCTTGTGAAACTCTTTCCTTGATAAATACCTCACAGAGTGCTAAAATTGAAAATTACATTACGTAGCGGTGACAAGACTTTCGGACATCATCTGTATATAGTGGGTTGGCCAAAAAATCAGTTCGGTTATTAAGCCGAAAATTTACTTAATAAACCAAACGAACCTTTTTGTCAAACCAATAATCACTATACATTATTTGCATTCGAACTATCGTCCTTATCTTTGTTGTTACTATCACAGAGTTTCGACCGTTGTACTCTCCGGTTTTCATCAGGTGCATGGTCACGAAAATAAGAACAATCTACTCCATTTATTATTATATTATGTACAGGTGACAAAAGTTTCGGATCACGTTTTATATTTATTTTTAATCATCCGCTTCATTTGTTTATATTTTATTTCTTTAACAGATCGATGCCTTACCCCGGGCCTCCCCAGCGGTTGCTTCCTGCAGTGTCCTACATCCTGGATTCCATTGATAGGCAAATCCTGCCTAGAAGGCACTTGCTGTACTATGATCCCTTAAAAACTTAGTTCGGAATTGGTGAGTGGATTTGTTACTATTTTCGCTGTTTGCTACATTAATATTTTATTATTGTTTATTCGTGTCCCCCAACAGAGTTTACATTGACGTACCATTCGGCTAAGGTGAAACATTTTTGCCGGAAGTTAAGTGATAGGTGACACCCAGGGCCGGTTCAAGGTACTGGCAACTTGAGCAGTCACCCAGAGCGCCATCAAAGCCGAGGGAGTCATAATGACGCCATGTTATTTGTTTGGGATCTCCAAAAGATAAAGCTTATGAAATCCTGCTTGCGGTTGTCCATGACTAAAGACAGATTAAATTCTTTGGCTATTTTGTCAATAGAAAATAACCTTGTAAAGAAGATAAGTGTAGATCTAAAGGCTAAAATGTTTTAGGCAGGATAATGGATGTTTTGTTTAGCTTCTATTGAATTGTATATTTTAATAAACACGTTATTTTACATTTTCAGTTGTTCTCCTTGTGAACATTTAAGAAAATTATACTTGTAAGAGTGCCGAAGTTCAGCTTCTCCGGGGTGCCCACAACCCTAGGGCCGGCCCTGGTGAAACCGAAAAAACATTTTGGAAAGCGCTATTACCTGGTTAAGTTTAATTGTAATTTTAACTCGAAAAATGTTTCATCTTTGCCCTATCTACCCTGTCTCTCACGCACACACGCGTACGTACACACTCACATACACAGGTAGACAAATATATTAATATTATAAACATGATAGATACCATTAAAATAATAAACACATTAAAATTTAGGCTTCAATCTCTTTTAAGAAAATGCCATTAAAATTTAGCCATTAAAATCTAGCTATTAAAAAGTAATCATTTAATGTTGAATATAAGGTGTATTAACTAAAATTTAGCAATTAAAGCATCTCTATGAATTTTAGCAATTCAAATAACTGTTATAAAACTTTTTAAGCACCATATTTTAAAAGTTCTTGTAAGTGCAATAATTAAAACTTGCCCGAACGTAAACTTATGATGTGGATTTTTAAAAATATCTTTTTTCTTAAAGGACATGCACTTTTCACAAGTAAATATATTTATGTATGTAGATAAAAATTTAAAATCTTTCAAAATGTATAAATTACATATATGAATGAAATAAAATAAATTAAAAATAAATAAATAATAATTACCAAACAAAAAAAAAACAAAACAATAACAACAATATTACTTGTCTTTAGTTTAATATGCCAGAAACTTAAGTCACACACACACACACACACACACACACACACACACAATATATATATATATATATATATATATATATATATAATAAATATATAAATAAAAAGGCTTAAACACTAATATTCCATGGTCATAATTTATTCCATTGGAATCGTAAATACGATCCAATTCATCAGACCTACAATGTATCCTTACTCTGTCCTAGACATTGAGTTCTACCTGGATTCTTCCTCTTGGAATTTTTTTCTGAAAATATACATGTATGGGTATTCATATATTTTGCATATGTATGTATATTTTCCACTAATATTATCTATCTATCTATCTATCTATCTATCTATCTATATTTACCCCCTGATGAGTGGTAACTCCAATTAATCTTCTCTATCTTTCAATATATTTCCTCAACAGAATCTTTTTTAAAAAATCCAACGTTAAGATAAACGAGAAAAAGCATTCAGTGAATTTTTTGTGTTCGTCTTTTAATGTCTCGCAAACATCACGCCCCCCCCCACCTCATTCGCGTTAAGTGCTATCGAGTACAGTGTTATGTTTTTTTTTTTACGTCCAAGTGGACATTTGAAAAACTTACCTTGATGATAAATCTTAGATTCTCGACGCCATTGAGGATAGGTGAATTCATCTGACATTTGTCAAATTAATCTTTTCAGGCGAAATAAAAGGATCACCATGTTCAAAATGTTCAGTAGGGTTAGTTTATGCCAGTTCGTTTTGAAGCAAAACACGAAGCAAGCAACTTAAGACGTATTACATTACGGCTCACAAAACTTGCAGTAAAACGCCAAACTACACTTAATAGGGGCATGGTTATCAATATCACTAAGCATGTGTGACCCATCGTTTATATATATATATATATATATATATATATATATATATATATGTGTGTGTGTGTCGAAGAAACAATTAGAATAATAAAATACAATAATCAAAGCAAACTATTGAATCAGTGGAATGAATTAATGTTAAAATGTCGGCATAAAAACAAATTCAAATTTCCATAATATAGGTTTTCCATAATATTAGTTTAACTTAATTCGCTATTATATTTCCATAATATTCACTCGCCTCTAATTCTTTAAATGTCGAATGTATAACAAAGTTTAATTTCTATATTCCCACCTCTATAACCTCTATAACCTATATTAATTATAATTTATAAACTTCCCCCCTACTTTAATATCTCCCGAACTCTCTTTCCATTAATCCATTACACCCTTTTATCTTTATATTTTAAATTTATTTTTAAATCCCTTCGCATCCCTCTTTTAATTTTGAATTAATATTCCATTCTTCATATAACCCCAAATTAATTTCATAAGGTTAATATTCGGGTTTAATTTTATTAAATTTCTTCCCTTTAAGACAAATACTTCCTACCCTCCCCCGACTCCTATCTCGTGCTTTTTGTCTGACTGAAACATTGAAATGGATAAATTTGGTATTAGTTTTTCTACTGTTTTTTTTTTGAGAAAACAGACGACCAATATCTTCGTCAGCCGAAATAGACTATTCCCCATATGAGGTGAGTTTGGATTTTATTGTTTGTTAATTATTTGCTCTGTGATAATAAATGCATTGAGCTCTTTATGTGGATCAGATTTAATATTTTATATTACTAGGATCCACTTGGATTACATACCAACGGTTTTGTTACCTTTACTATATATACCCAGGGTCACAAACTAATATCCATACAATTGAATATATATAAGACAAAATATATGTGTTGCAGACTGAAAGATTACATTACACAACCGTTAATATAGAGCTCATTCTTAAAAAAAACATCTTTCGGTCTGCAGCACATATATTTCGTTTTCCGGTTTTGATTCTAAAGGAAAAAAATACAGCCTGATGATAAAGACAGAGGTCTTTGAAAGTACTAGCTGAATTAAAAAAATACACCATATTCATTTTATACATAAGGATCTCATCATTCAGTGGATTATTAGTAGTATAATGCTTATAATTATGTCTACTAGCGAAGGGATTTCGCCAATAATTGCATTAATATTGCTAATTGATTCAAGGTATGATTAACTCTTTGTAATATAAAATCTATGGTGCCTATTTTATTATATATATATATATATATATATATATATATATATATATATATGAGCCATGCCCGTCCAACAGTCGTTTTGTCCACTATCAAGCAGTAAATAGTAACCTCTCAACTGTCAATGTGCCTCATACTAATTTCGAGCGAGTTGCCCTGGATAGAAATAACTGGATATATCTGTGCCAGAGTGGTATCAGAAATTTCGAAATCATTCGTATTGACCGGCTAAGAGACGAAAGACAACGTATTGACCGGTTAAGAGACGAAAGACAACGTATTGACCGGCTAAGAGATGAAAAGCGTCAACAGATGTTCCTGTTGCTGTGTCCCGAAACTGTGGACTTGTATGCAGGTCACTAACGGGACCAGAGTGTCACATTTTTTTACAGTAATGTTTACCCTCTACAGTGCTCCGTGAGTCACTCGAGGTAGAGCGTTACGTTAAAGGGTAGTTTGTATGGACAGGATGGGAAAATAATGGTTGACTCTAGACATGTTAAGATTCTAGTGATCAGGGAAACATCCTCTTGGGAGTTTGTTCCACAGGGCAGTAGTTCGCGGAAACTGTTTTTCCTGAGAACCGCTACTTTGTGGAGCGATCTCTCGCGAGGGTGGTCCTATGAACGCTACAATCTTAACCTCTTCAACTCAACGGTCAGTCACTATCCTCCCTATCCTTTTAAACTTTAACTCCTTCTGCTTCTTCTTACATTCATATAACACACATCATTCAGTAACCCTCTACCATGAGTGGCTCTTGAGCCTTGAGGAGGTTAACATTAGAAAATCTTTAACGATGTATACAAACAAGCACAATCACATAAAAAACATTTTTCATATTTTCAGATCGTTTCAATTTATTTTCATATTTTTTCCATCTGTTTTAGGAGCAGACGAAACCGAAGGTACCCTTAAATTGCTGACTTCCATGACGCATTCTGGGTAATAAACGATGTTTCAAAAACTGACCCCCACAACTCAAAGGATTTGTTCGTTCTTTCTTTTTCTTTCTCCGCATGAAAACTATCCCGACGTTTAAATCAGTACAATGGACCAATGCACGTCAATTCGTTTAATGTATACATCTATATTTAAAGATACCAACCTCTCAATATTAATGATCACAAGTTTTAGAGAGTTTTGTTGTTGTCTGAAATGAGAAATTATAAATTAATTTATTCAGGATCGTGTCCTCATTTTGGTTGTTCATGTGATAACGTTTTTACCATTTTACTCCCCTTGCTTCTTGGAAAGCCATGATCGCCTACGCCCTGAAAAGACATGATACATAAAAAGAAAAGAATTATTTGATTAATTTTAAATGAGCTCTTTTTGTGGATCAGTTTCAATATTTTGGATCCACTTGGATTATATACCAATGGATTTGTTGCCTTTATTCTCTCTCTCTCTCTCTCTCTCTCTATATATATATATATATATATATATATAAATGGATAGCGGTTTGGATTGAGGAATCGGAGAGCCGAGTTCGAATTCCTGTCGAATCCATTACATTTACTTACGCGCTAATACCCTTGGGAAAGGTGCGAATCCTCTTCTTTTCCCTCCAGCTATGGGTAAATAGCAGGAGAGACCGGGTTCTATAGCCTTGGAAGGCAACTGCTCTTAGGAGAAAGAACAACTCTGAATTTAAAACCTGCGGAGGGTCGTTTGGGGGACCTTGTGGCACGGAGTGCACCCGGTATGTGTATTCGGCCCTTGAAAAAGTGTGGATGGTCCTGCACAAAACCTTCACCACTATAATGAAATCTCATGGGCTGGCGTCGGGCTGTCGGTTTCCTAGGAACTGATCCGCTTGACCCTCATACGTCGAATTCGACGGGAGAGTCGAGTATATATATGTTGTGGAGTGATTACACAGTGGAGGCTTGTATTTGTACTAAGTCGGTCCTAAAATAGGTTCGACGTACAAAACGTTAGGAACTTCATATAATAGGAATCGCAGAGAAATCGGGTTGTGGTCGCTGATAGTTTAGTATTCGACTAACTGTCGTCCGACATCGACTGGCTCACCGACCTCCTCGTTACTCTTACTACTCCTACTTATTATAGGTGGGAGAGTCTCTTACTATAGAATAGGTGTGTTTCCACATGACAATATATATCACTTCATATGGGAAATAAGCTTATATCGGCAGACAAAAATATAAGTCGACTGTCTTATCAACCTCGGTGTGAAAATTTGACTGTGAAAGTTTAAAATAATAAAAAAAAAACTAATAAAATATTAAGGGTCGAGCGAATAAAAACTTTGGTTAATTTGTTGCGTCTGGCTGCCTAGTCAGTGTGAATTCAATCTCTGGGTCAACAAAGAAAAGTCGACATAGTTTAACAAAAAATACAGTCAAAATGTGTCAAAAGGACGTTTTTTTCTCTGGACATTGATATTATTGTACACACTTCGGCAGTTTTTATTGTCTAAAAACTCTACGTTTGCAATGTAAATATATAAAAAAGATCAAACAAATGCGTATATTAAAATGTTGCGACTTGTTCCAGTCAGTTTTTAAAGGGTTAAATCATCTTACTGGTATGTTAAATTTATAGCGGCCATCTCAGCTCAACAGTAAAGTGGTGGCGTACTTCTGTAAATAAGTCGACCGGACCACACACACACACACACACACACACACACACACACACACACACACACACACACACACAGAGAGAAAGAAAAATCAACCTAGCACGAATAAAAAGGGCAATAATTATTTCTTTTAACTTAATATAAAAATAACGAATAATGAGAAAATCGACAGACAATTAATGATACCTCCTGACGAGGGGATCGTACGATTGCACAAAGGCCCGTCTACTATACTCTGAAGCAAAAGTGCTGAATATAACATCAATCAGCGAAGTGACAAATTTTATATTTATATTAATCCTATATATATATGTACACACACACACACACACACACACACACAGAGGATTGTAAAATTTGTCACTTAGCTGATTGATATTACTTTTAGCATCCGTCTACACTTCAGAGGGTATAAGCAATTTACTGCTTATATTTATATATTTTTTTCTTTTTATACACATTTATCTCTGGTATAAATTTTCTTCTGTATTCTCTGTGTTTGTGTGTGCGCTTGTCAGCGCGCTCGCTTGCGTCCGTCTGCACGGATGTGCGTCGTGATCCTTTTGCCCTTTTCTTTGGTTTTATTTGTTTATCTGTAGCTGACTTAGTCTGGTTTTGTCCCGGTTCTAGATATGTAATCTATTTTATTTATTCATTTTTATTTATGGGCATTATATATATATATATATATATATATATATAGAATAAAACCTTCTCTCTGTTAAATTTTAAGCCCCCCTTCATCTTTAGACCTTCCTATTCTTCTCCTGTTCTTCTCTCGTCTGTTACCCCTCTCTATAGCTTTCATTTACTCTAACATTCGTCCCACAATCTCATACATACACTCTCACTAAATTTTATTTTTTATTCCCGGAGTTGTTTTTTCTGTTTTCTTTTTGAATTTGTAGGTCTGATGAATTGGATCGTATTTACGATTCCAATGAAATAAATTATGATCATGGAATATTAGTGTTTAAGCCTTTTTATTATATCCTTACTCTGTCCTGGACATTGAGTTCTACCTGGATTCTATCTTCTTGGAATTATTTTTTATACATATATGCATGTGTGTGTATGTATGTATGTACATACATTTATATATTTTAGATATATGATTGCATATGTATGTGTATATTTACCACTAATATTATCTATCTATCTATCTATCTATCTGAAACCAATAATGTTAATGATTAAATAGTAAATACTTAACTTACACGTGCACATGCTCATATATATATATATATATATATATATATATATATATAAATATATATATATATATAAATTCCCAAGACGATAGAATCCAGGTAGAACTCAATGTCCAGGACAGAGTAAGAATATAATATAAAAGGCTCAAACACTAATATTCCATGGTTATAATTTATTACATTGGAATCGTAAGATCCAGTTCATTAGACCGACAAATTCAAAAAGAAATGATCTAAACTTAAAAACAAGCAACTCTTTTCTTGTATACATAAGCTTAGTAATGCAAAGCAGACAGAAAATTTTCACATGTACATCGGCAGTATGAATTGGCTGGATCTTAAATTTAGATCATATCGTTTTTTATTGTGCGTAGTGTCACCGCAAATGCATCCACGCTTTTCCGGTGTATGTTTTTTAATTTTAATTTTAGGTCAGCGAATCGGTAGTGATTTATGCATCTGAAAAGAATTCCTATTTATCTGCATCTCACTCATTTAAACCGTTAATTAACTCCTCTCTTTAAAACTTCTCTACCTTAAAGTTTAATCCTTCCCTTCACCTTATAGGCCTTTTCTTTTCTTCTTTATATATGTTATATATATATATATATTATATATATATATATATCTCACACTTGTTTTCCACTCCCGCACATACACTTTTTACTAAAATTTTTTTGTTTTTTTGGTACCATCAGTTATATTTTCCGATTTCTTTTTTATTTGTAAATCTTTATGAATTTATCGTGATTACGATTCCAATGTAATACATTATAAAACATGGAATAAAAGTATTTGAGCCTAAAATATATATATATATATATATATATATATATATATATATATATATAATTATTTATTTAAAAATATTATCCCGACATAAGGTCTCATGTTTCAAAAACAAGAGCCGAAAACTTCAATATAATTATTTGAATTAAATTGTGTTAAAGTAAGCTCTGTTCCATCTTCAAGTAAAATTTTTTTTGAATAACGTATTTCTGAAATTTACGTGTTTTAATAATTGAAATCAGAATTTCCATGGTAACAGCTTTGAATTGTTTAAATTGGGTAGGCGTGTTTGGTGTTAATAATAAGTATCAGTATAGAGTTACTTTCAAAGATGTCAAGTCAGGGAAAGGTGGGGTGTCTAAATTTGAAACGGAAGATATATTAACCCTCGTCTAGTTTGCGTGTCTATGAAGATTTATTTATTTTATTTTTTATGAAAGGGATTTGTGCATATAAAAAAAACACAAAACAAAAAACAAAAACACACCACACACGTTTATTTTTTTTACGACTTCATAAAGGGTTATCTTTTTTAGGGTATTTAAACTATTTATTTGGGCTATGGATTATGAAAGTTAGATTATATTGTATGCTTGTTTTTAGCTAATTATTCAAACCATGAATCTGATGATGTCGACAAAAACCGTTAACTCATGTCTATTGTTTAATAGATTACTATTATTTAGAAACTTAATAATGTGCAATTTCTCATAGAGGCGCAAAAATGGGTCATCCCAAGTTTTTTGCACATGTTCTAAACCCTGTTTATAATTTTCCATTTTACTTTAGGTGTCCTATTTGTTTCCTTCAGATGCCAAAAATATTTAGATAAGGTTGTCTGATTTCTTTTATTTATATTATTGAAAGAGCACTTATGCTGCCTCCATTATCTTTAAAATCATTCTTCGTGGACCAATGTTATCATTTTTTTTAGGACTCTCAGTGGATGATATAGTACATTGGTATAACACAGATTTAATGCAGCATTTATTTTCTAATTCAGTCTTCTTTTTCTAAAATTACATTTTTTTCCTTTTATTATTCTAAAAGTCTTGAACGTATAATCAAAAAAACACAATAATAAGATCTTGAACAAACCCCATGCCTTTAGTTTTAATAAAAACCCTGCACTTAAATCAGACAAAAAAAAAAAAAAAAAATTTCAGAAATACGTTATTCCAAAAAAATTTCAACTTTGAAACAGATAATACTTTAACTCATTTTAATTCAAATAATTATATTGATTTTCGATCTTGTCTTGAAACATGAGACCTCCTATGTCGCGAGTTGAATCATATTTTAAATAAATAATTATATTTATGCTCTACTTTTGT